CCCGCTGGCAATCCCCTCGAGTTCCCCTGTGGGGAAGGGGAAGCTCCGAGCCTAAATCACCTAGGCCAGGTCTGCAGGAGACGAGAGGCACCCAAGCTGCTGCTAATCTGGGTGAGGACTTGGGTACCTCTATACCCTCATCGGTGTGGGGCACAGGCATGTTTGGAGAGCTCTTTCTCCAGCAGATTGACTCAGCCTTGTCCCTCCCCGCTCACAGCTCGCTCTCCCATCACCAGCTTTATTGCAGGAACGAAGCCTCTGAAGCCAGCGTCACTGCTCGAGCCATTTCTGTAAGCTTTGTTCTTACAAAGTCCCTCCTGAGATTTGAGCTTGGCAAAAAGATTCCTTCCCTTCTAGTTCTGTTTTCAACAGGTTCCCATAGTTTAATGGCTGACTTCTCCAGAAAATTTTGCAAACATGGTCCTGAACGTGGTTTTAATTGCTGGATTGGGACTTCCAGCCTTGCAAAGAGGAATCCCCACAATCCTTACCCTGCAAAGCCTTACAAAGACAGGGTTGAGCCCTGTAAATGCCAGTTGGTGAAACGCGAGCTCTCATGCTATACGGCACAGTTGTGGATGCCACTCCTGCTACCGGAGTGGGCTTTGCCCTCGGCAGGCACCGCGTGTATGTTCCTATTAGGAGGGAGCTGCGGCAGAGAAGCTAAAGCAGCCTGTCCCTGGAAAAACTGGAGTTAGACAAAACCACGTGCCATATATATATATATTTATACCATATACCCTAAATTACGCTCCTAAGTGCAATAGTACCTTTGCACGCACATCCATCACTATCCCCTCTGCCATCACCCGGTGTCCCTTGGCCATCCCCACATCTGCCACGGGCACTGGTCTGTGCCAGGCCCAGCTCTCCCGTGAGCTCTGTGGGATGGGTAGGAACAGGACTGCCTCTTCCAGACCCCCCCTGTCCTGCTCCCTGCCGCCAGATGTCCTTTAAGTGTCATCGCTGACAGTTTAATTCTCTGTGATGGGCAACCTGGCAGAAGGGCCAAGGGTTTGTCAACACTGAATTAGGATCTAGGTCTCCTTTTCCTTTGGGGCTCCCCAAGCTGAATTTTTCTTACAGAAATGAAAGAAGAGTCCCGGGAGAGCAGCTGAAGCAGATTTTGCACTGGAACCATCTCACAGGTGAGCTCATTGCTTTCCTTCTCACCTCTCTTTTTCTCTAAGCAGGGAGAAACCAAGTGCTGCACAGTGTCTTTGTTCCTTAAGCCCCTGTTCACCTCTCCTGGATGTCACCCTAACCCTGTCTGTGGGCACGGAGCACCGGGCAGGGGCAGCTGGTGGCAATGGCAGCTGGTGGCAATGGCCCTGGGAGCAGCTCCTGGCCGGGATGGCAAACACGGGGTCTGGGGAGCGCTCAGGAAACAAAATTCCCACCTCACACCGCTCTCCTCCATGCCCAGCGGTGGAGGAAGCACAGAAAGCAGGAGCGAAGCTCTGTCATTTAGCCAAAGGTCCTCTCAAAAAGATGCAATTGGGATTCATTCGCCTCAGTTTACAGGCTGCAAAATAAGGTGTCTAGCAGAAACTCCTCGTCATGTCCTCGCTGCAAAGCTGTCCCAGCTGCATGGGCTCTGGGGAATGTGGCCGACGTGACAGCTTTGCCACAAAGGAAACTCAACGTGGAGCTCAACCGGGCGTCCGTGGTTTGTGCTGGCCAGCTGCCTCTCTGCGATAGCCTGTGGGCACACGCAGGCTTCTGTGGTATTTCTCCTGCTCAAAAAGTGATTTATGGGCTGAGCAGTACAGGAAGGCTGACCTTCAGAGGGAAAGCTCATGCAATGCTCTGTGACTCCTTTTCCCCTCTTGCTGTAAGAAATGGGACTTGGATGCTTCACGCTGGTGAGGTGCTGCAAGGCTGCGTGTGGCAGAGGCCGGTGCCGTCTGCTCCTGCTGCTCCTCAGCTCTCCGGCACAAGCCCTCCTGCCACCGAAGATGACTGCGTAGGGCTTCCCCCAGGCACCCAGGGCTCCGTCCTTCCTAAGGCAACAGCCCCCTGCCCATGAGAGGGGGCTGAAACACCCAGGGGCTAGAGTCCCATCCGGGGACATGCAGCAGCATCCCTCAAATAACACGTGCATCGGCCGCAGAGAGCCCCTCCAGCCTTCCCTGGGCACGGTGTGAACCTGGCCCCCCTCCAGCAGCTTCTCCCTTGCTGATTTACGCCTCACCCAGGGTTTTTTCCCACCAGCGGTGAGCCAGAACCCGCTGCTTTCGGTGAGCCCCATCCCGGCAGGCTCAGCCCCTGCCTTCCCCTTCCCTGTCCCACACACAAACTTGGCAGCGGCAGCTCCTGTGGTTTGTATGAAACTGAAGAACAAAAGGAGCCGGGCTGTTCCTTCACATACAAATTGTAGGGCTCGGCGTCTGGTGTCAGGGAAGGGAAGTTAATTTGCAGAAGCCTTGGGAGAAGGCTCCTGTGCCCTGACATGTCTGTGGAAAATCAGGTTCCCACTGCGGTGTCACAGGCTGGTGAATCATCTCCTGCCTGCACTCGGCTGCACAGAGCCCTGCCATTGCCCCAGCGAGGGAGGGAGATGGCCAGGGACAAACCCTCACGCACCGTGGGAAGGGAACATTGCACAGACAGGGCAGAGAAATCTGCTTTAAGGTTTCAAAAGAGATGAGTTAATCTGAGAGCCCAGCCCAGATCTGAGAGCCCAGCCCAGCCCCAATCTGAGAGGCCCCCTTACGCGATGCTCCATTCCCAGGAGCTGCAAACAACATGTTCCCAAAAACAAGCTCCGTCTAAGGTGTGTTACACAAACGACCAGCTGCTGGAAAACACCCTCTGCTATTGCACTGGGGATGGAGGAGAGCTCTGACGGGCATATGTCCCTCCTCACACCCCTTCCCATTGCAGGGACAGCCATCTCCTCTGGCCAGGAAGATGCTCTGTGCCCATCTTCCCAGGGGTAGCCCTTGAGTTAAAAGCAGCCTGCATGGCTCGGGGCCTGATGCGGACACGGTGAAATCCTGTGAAGAAGGACCCCGGTGAGTTCCCACTGAATTTCACAAGCCCTCAATCTCTACAGAGTTTCCTTGTCACTGGCTCCTCTCGCAGTGACTAAGAAGGATGCTGTGGAGGAGCAGCTCAGCTTTGCTCCACCATGTGCCGGTCGTGCCACACGTGCAGGTTCACAGACAGTTCAGCGCTCTTTTTTTGGCACATTTGTTCTAGCACGGGAAAACAGAGCCAGAAAGCACAGGGCTGTTTAATAGCCATTGCAATGATGTCTAAGATGGATGTTGGCAATCAAGTTTAGGGGCCATTCAGGCTGCAGGCAATACGAATGCAGCTCCCAGAGCCCACAGGAGCACAGCCCATCTGTGCTCAGGTTCCCAGCATTGCTCCTACAAGCAAAGACAGACCAGTGGACTAGAGAAGCTCGTCTCACATCCCCTGGGGCACTCAGGCCTCCACGTCCTTGTTGGCCCTTCTGCTGGCATGCCCAGACATTGCTCAGGGCCCTTGTTC